AAGTTTTTGCATGGACTTTGCGCGCACTTTCAGGCGTTCTAAAAGCCAGCTTGGGGCTGCAGGGCCGCGTTTTGGAGCGAGTTCCGGCCGGAACCGGGAAGAAGGACTTACCCTATGAACGAAACAGCCAGAGACATGGATAGAAGAGAGAGGGACGCCCCCCGCGGACAAGGAGTTCCTCGAGCCCGACACCTCTGAAGAGCTCGAGTGAGAAGCAGAAGGCTTACTGTGAAGCCGTGGGCCGGCTTCTCTACCTCATTGCTTCGAAAGGTGATCGGGTACCTCTATAGGGTGCCCAGCCTCGGCGTGCTCATAAAGCCCATCGCCGATTGTGCCTGTTTTGGGTACGCTGGAAAGAGCCAACTCCACGGTGCGGGTACCATTGTGGTGGAGTCCATCACCAAGGCTGATTGGGCCGGCTGCAGGAGAACAAGAAAGAGCCCAACCTCGATTCAGCTCTATGTCGGCGGCAGCTTGATTGGCTCTTGTGGCCTTTCTTCAGGAAGAGCACGTGGATCGCTGCACGGAACTTCGAAGCGAGCTCTACAACAAGTGCCGTGAGAACGAGGGAATGGAGCAAAACCTGAGGCGGCTTAGAGCGGAGAACGAGACCTTGACCAGGGAGGTCACAAGGTTGAGGGCCCGGAGGGTTCCAGAGCAGATTAGTGTGGCTACGCAAAGGGGCGAGCGCTATCACCTGCCCACGTGTGGGAACTTACGTCATTCTAGTGGAGTTAAGACTTACACTCCTTGTTTTTCGTGCTTGGAGCAGGGGTAGTGGCTAGCCGTAGCTTTTCCTAAGGGATTTTTGGAGTGGATCAGGATCCTATAGAAAGGAGGGATCATGATCCAAGGCGGGGTGAAAGACATGCACCCTGCCCTTTGTACACACCGGAAGCAGTGATTGCCGAAGCTCTTTTCATGCTTGGAAAATTTGTCACATTGAAAATGAAATAAAGGTCGTCATTACGGCTGCTCCTCCTACTACTAAGGTGCTTCGGGTTTGTACTGCCGCCAAGGTAAGGACCTCTACTGAGGAAGAGCAGGAGCGCCTCGGTGCCTAAGGCTAGTTTCGGTTGGCCTTGTAAAAAGCCTACGCAGGCCGAACCTTGGAGGCTCAGGGCTCAGGTTCGCAAAAAGAATGGCGTTTGTCATTTGTCCAACCGGTTCATTAGGGGCATCCTCCCAGGAGGTTGCACCCATGTGGAGCTTTTGGCCATTCGTCATTTGCTGTCTGCCATTCTTGCTTCTAGTGATCGAAGCATGCACCGATGGGGTCAGCGTGGCCGGCGCCCTTCCACACGGGCCGACAGTCGGCGAACGCGTGCTCGACCATGCGGACGCAGCAGGGCCGAGCCGCCTGCTGCTACGCGGCCTGTAGCGCTGTAGGGTAGGCACTGAAACGAGCGGCGGGTTCGTCAGACTCATGCTAAGGTAAAAGATCCGTGAAAAAAAAATTGACATCGGGTTCATCCGGTTCTCACTTTACGTGGTTTGGTCCGTGACTAGGCCTCGGGTCTTCGGTCATAGTTGTGGCATGCGCCTTGACTTGAGAGACAGGCAATCGCTGCACGCTTATGCAACACACACTCTGCTCGAGGGTTGGAGGGCACACCTCCTTGATGGGTTCTTGCAGTCTGATAGACATGAAGCTGTTGGACCGATTGCGAGCGCCCCGAGCCGGCTGCCGCTTCGCTAGCACCCCGTATGCGCCTTTAGTTCGCAGCTTGCATTGCGACCGCGGAAGACGCACGAAAGATTCGTGAAACAAAAACAGACATGAAGCTGCTGATTGGCATTCTATTGCCAACTGGAGGCAGCAGTTTCGCAAGATTGCTCTCGAGCCCACTCGTAAGTGGATGTTTAGCTACCCGGCGGCCGGGTCTGTCGCGCTGCTGTTGGTCGCAAGTCCAACTTCGCAGATCGTTGGCGCTGACCGGTGCACTGGGGAATGTGGGGCCCTTAGAACGTGGGACCGCGTCTGTTAGGAGTGCCTCATGAGGCCCTCGACTCTTCGCAAACCGCGGTCGCCATTCATGTCACGACTTGGATGGTGTGCGGATCATGGAGGTAGGACTCACCAGCTCACCCAGGACACACAGGATTGGCTTGTCACTGTCACTAAGGCTATCTAAAAGGATAGACATGGGTCTGTCTGATGACCTGTTGTCGGCTCCGCTCTTCGCCGGTTTCGTAGCACTTGAGCACTGGTGCCTGGTCGAGCCGCGGCTTTTGCTTGCCCTCCTTAGGCCTATGTGCTCCTGTGACTTTCTACCCGCCTTGACTGCGACTGCAACTTTGGATGCGGTGGCTGTGCTCCTTGAGCATTGCTGCTTTCGTGTCACTCAGGTGCTGTGAGCGCTGGTGCCTGGTCGAGCCGCGGTTGTTTGCTTGCCCTCCTACGGCCTACGTGCTCCTATGGGTTTCTACCCGACTACACTGCATCTTGGGTGCAGTGCTTGATCTTCGCCTACGCGCCGTTCCTCGTGGTTGCCGGCTACTAGGTCGTTCGGTGGTTTGCAGGGAGTGCTGCGGCGGTCCCTGCCTCTCTTGGTGTCGTCGACTAGGCGGCTTTCACCATTCAAAGCTACGACGACGAGAAAAGTATGTGGCCGACTGTTTTGCAACTTGCATTGATCTCCTCCCCGATGCGTGTCACTGAACATTGACCCATGAGCTCCCCAGGTCCGTTATGCGTATGTAACCACCTCGCATTCGGTGCAAAAACCGAAAATGTGAATTCACATGCACTGATTGAAAATCGGTTTCCGTGGTTGTCGGCTTATCCACTATGCAAACAGGTTCCCCTGAAGTGTGCGACTCTGTGAAACATCATGACTCGAACGGCGTTGTCCTTAAATATTTTTGTGTTTGCGTTTCGTTTTGGCAGCACCTTTCGCCTGTTGCTTGAGTCGTCTATTTGGATTTCGCGCTTGTCCAAGCGTGGCCGGTAGCTTGCTGTAGCGCTAGCCTTCGGAGCTCAGGCACCTTTCGCAACCGGAAAAAGGTCCGAGAGAAAAAAAAAATAAAACCATTGTTTGCAGCTCCTCCGCACTGTCCATGTTCGTGTTCTTGACCCCGTTTTGCTTCATCACGTGTTCGTGTTTCTCGATACGTACGGCATGATGTCAGATAATTTTATAGTGATTCTTCGATCACATTCAATCGGTCAGTGACAGAACTTCGCAAAGCACTCATTTGGGTTGATGCACACCAGCTCCGAACGCATGGGCAATGGTCTCTGCGGAGCACTGTCTGTTGATGCCTTCCAACCAGCGCTGGGCTGAGGGACTCCGTCCCCGGCTCCTCGTGATCATCCATTTCATGCAGTAAACTCGACCGACCAAAGGTCGTCATCCCATACACTGGTTTTCCCATGCCAAAAAGTGTAGCGAAGAAGAGAGCATTCGGGCCTTCAAACTTCAGCTAAAATGAGAATGCCCCTTGGCCATCGTGTGTGAATATTGCTCTGCATGGAAATCCTTGAAACGGAAGCGTGGGGTGTGCAATGCTTAGAAGCCATGGCAGCATAAATTGTTCGTGCTTGTAGTGGCTTACCAACCCAACTTTTGACAAACTGACAGACAGCGTCTTGTTCTTAACGATCATATCCGCAGCGGTGTGCGATTGGCCAAGCAACTTCACAATGTTGTTGCCGTCTACCTCTACGCGTTGGTCTCTGGTTTATGGAGTGCGCTTCGTAAGGAGCAGTGGCTGGGAAATTCAGTGTCCGAGCGCCCATTTCGAGCGAAAGCAGCAAAGCGAAAATATGAACTGTTACGAATTCTCGCCCGGCTGTTGCGTTCCGATTCCAAAAATGCATCGCTGGTGTTGGCAATGTGTGAGACACGGCCCAAGCGCGTCGATGTCTATCGGGTGCAGCATCCACACAACTAGCCCTGAGCGCAACAAGTTTCCAGCTTGTCATGTGGCCATAGGTTGCAGAGCTTGCATACGGCGGTATCACGCTTGTTTGGTGTTATTGTGTACGTGTACACCTGTAGCCAGTCAGCAGCCTGTCGCTGGATGGCTTGCGATATCGTGCAGGAATGGAGTCATGGGCAGAGCACCTCACCGCAGATCTCTCATCAGACCTGTGCGTGGATGTAATCGAGGAACGATCTACCACCCGGGAGCTGCACATTTGTGTGCGCCCTGCCGAGTCGCAAAAGTCCTGCTTGCCAGATGTAGACCGAGTACGAGGCTGGAACCCGGAGTTGAGAAGCCGGCTTTGCCAGTTCATGTACGTAGGAACCAAACAGCAACCACGAAATGTTTGTCCGAGCTGTGCCTGCCATACGGCGGAATCGTTTAAAAACACTGTCGCATGGTGCGCCGGACTAACACAACTGATGGATATTCCTTTAGTTTCTGCAGGCCCAGAGGAAGACATTGCGTGGGATTGGTTCCAGCGGGCAGCTTTCGCCTGCATTGAAAAGTCGGAAAGCGTTCTCGTCGCGGCCCCGACATCAGCAGGGAAGACCGCAGTCGCCAGGAATGTCATCAAGAAATGCATTGCGACTGGAAGTCGATGTGTGTACACAGCACCTGTGAAAGCTTTGTCGAACGAGAAGTTCAGAGACTTCGTTGCCGAGTTCGGGGCCGAGAAGGTCGCACTGCTGACAGGCGATGCGCAGGCTGGAAACATGGAGCTCGCTCAAGTGGTTGTCATGACAACGGAGGTGTTGGTCAGCATTCTGCACAACGACCATGAGTCGGACCTCTTGGATTTGGATCCACATGCAGCTGCACAGCAGAATCGAAGCATTGGCGAGCCGCGCCGGCTGCTTATGCGCCATCTGTCTTATGCGATATTTGATGAAGCGCATTATATAGCAGACGAAGAGCGTGGAACAACTTGGGAAGAAGCCATAATCCTGCTTGAACGTCACATTCCTTTGCTTTGCCTTTCTGCCACAATTCCGAACTTTGTTGACCTGGTTGGTTGGCTTGCGCAAACTCGACATGCTCCTTGCCATGCAATCTTCACGCGCTGGAGGCCCGTGCCGTTGGTTCATGGCATCGTCGCTTGTCCACCTGCCGAAGCCACACAGACAATTTCGGACAAAAGAGGCAAATTCAAAAAACGATGCTACCAGGACGGCCTGCTACATTCTTGAGCGTTTCACGGCCTTTAGTGTCCAGCTGTCCTTGGACATATGATATGTTTCTTGCAGGAAGCTGTGATGCACCTGCCCAAGCCGCCGGACAAGCCCGCACGAGACCTGGATCGCGGGCAGGATCTTGTGTCGATCTTGCATGACACTTGTCTGATTGTCTGGAAGTGGCAGGGCGGAATGGGTAGCAAGGCTGTGGCTCAAGCTCAAAG